AATTAATAATAAACCAACAATAATTGTGTTATCCACTGGATAGATTTTTATCCAATGGATAGCACTATCCAACGTTTAAACAACTGGGGCCAGTTCTTCAGTTTAGAGTATGAAATCTCCCTGATAATCACTGAAGTTTGCCATATCCCTTTACCTTTATTAAGTTAGTAAAGCACGTGAGGCATCACACTAGACTCAACTTTCTAACGTTGAAATTTCACCTACTTTGCATTGTTTGAGCTATTTTAATGTAAAATTAAACATTTCCTTAAAACTCAGGTATGCCATTGTAAACGCAGAGCTCCGCACGTCTCTGCTTCACAAGAGACAGGTGGCTATGCGATTTCCCACCAAAATAAGCTCGAGTTGCATTTGGCTTACCATACCTGTTGATTGAGTTATTTTACATTGGTACGCCTGTGGTGCAGACGGACAGTCAGTCAGTGGGTCGATCAGGCGCACATACGGTCATGTGATTACCAAAATTTCCTGGATGGGTAGTTTACCACATTTTCTAAGGTATGGGGTTACGCTCATGCACCCTTCGTGGGCACAAGGAGCTCCGCTATTAAAATTCTAACATGACTTCGAGGCTTTCTGGTCATTTCAATATTTGGTTTTGTTTTCTTTGTGCTCAAGTCTCTTGAAAGAATTGCAAGGCAACAGAGTCAAAAAAACTTTGCAATTTTGTGCCTAAAGCCTTGTAAAGTCATGTTAGAATTTTAATATATCGAATGTGGTCTATTTATCTTGTGCCCAGATTGAGGGGGGCATAAGGGAGTACAGATACTGCAAAACGGCACAGGAATATGTATAAATACCGCACAGAATAACATAACAAACCGCAAACTACTTGGTTTTTTTAAAACCGCAATACAGCAACTAAAAATAAAAATTTCCACAAACCCTTATGCTCCCCTCCAGATCTCTAGTTTTGCACAACAGACATCATGTACTGTGCATTACATCTACTATGTCATCTATCATCCCATCCTTATCAATTCTCAATGTTTGAAGACATGGAGATAATCCATATAATGGGTTATTCCAGAAAAAATCCACACCCCCACGACGGAAGGCATGCTCTGGAAATTCAGACATGAGGGGGGCCCTGAACCTAAAAATACATCCTTGGGGATAACTTTCGATCTCATCGATGTTTCAATCACTTCAATCAATAAGTGTTCAAAAAATTGCTTTGCCTTTTCAAATTTCATTATTCTTTCAAACTACAGACCTCTTACCACATTTATTTTAAGTTTCCATCCATAGGCTTGCCCTCGTTACTTTCGTAGAAGCAACATGCGATAACTTATAGATATCAAGAAAAATTGCATAAAATTATTCATAAGAAAGCGCTCAGTTCAAGTAAAGCAAACAATGATTTTACCTTGAATTATACATTTTTCCAAGGTTAATGCTATTTCAGGGTGATTTACCACTAAACAGGCCTTACAAGTACAGTTTGCAAGTGTGGTTGTTCGTGATTGTTAGGCGGCCATTTGAAAGGCAAGTGTTGTGGCAAGTGGTACAGTGCATCATGTAATATCGCGCTATGTGTCCTTTTTCTTTCTTTCTCGGTCATTTTTTATCGACAAAGAAGAGAACCATTTATTCGAGAACATAGTTAGTTTTGAGCTTTATTGTAGTATGCATTGCTGTATATTTTACCTGTTCTAGAAAAAAAAGAGAAGTTCACTCAAATATGAGCTTATTTGCAAAACGTGTAAGCCTGTTTAAGAAGATGTGAAAATGGAAAATGGAAAATGGAAAATGTTACAATGATTAATTAATGTTACAATGCCAACAACATCTTTTTCACATGTTTTTTGGCATCACAGATTCCTGATGATTGGAGTCAACCAGGTCATGGATAATAGAAAGACGTCCTTCTGTTATCCATGACCAGGTTTATATGCATGAATGATGTCAGGTGTCGTACATTATGACGTCATTTAAAGAAGTGGGGGTTGTCTGGGGTTGACATCCCTACATACTATATTTTCAAAACATCATAATTCCCTTTCATTAAGTCCAATCTTTAATATTTTGACCTTAATGAATAGGAAAAACATGAAATAAAGAAGCACCTTTAGGTCAACGAGCTAAATAAAAACTATTTTGTATTAGGATAATAAATTAGAATGGACCCCTTGTCTCCACAAAACATTTGAAGAAAATATATCATTTTCGACCGAAATTTAAGTAGACGGCTTTTTGGAGGCAGTCTCTTACATTAATCTATAAAATATCTGTATTACAGTACTACATACCTTCAAGACATCGCTGAAAACACTGAAAAAAACAACCAAGCTTGAGTAACCACCTTTGGTCGCCATATTGAAAAATATCATTCGTTCCTAGGACTTTGTGTTTTCGCGGTACTCGCTCCTTTACGACTGGGAAGCAGGGGGAAACTGGGATCAAGACTCACAAGAGTGAAACTCAGGGAGCTCAGGGGTTCCCATGGGGGAACGAAGCGATCGTCCCGCTTCTGTTTCTTTACGTGTATTTCGTTGACTCCGTTGACCGTCCACAAAATTTGGCGCTCCCCCGAAAAAAAATAGAATGACTGATACATGACGATCGCTTGTGCGTGAAACTCCGAATTACAACTCCATTTTTTTAAAAAATTCCATCCGTTGTATTTGAATTACTGGTACCAGTGGTACATGTAGATTGCAAGTTAGGTACAACAACAAGGAGTTATTATTGTTATTCACACATTAGAATGGCACTTTGAGCAATTGGAACTCATTCTTTCTTGAACAATTCTACTTTTGCTTAAGGAACAGTGAGGGATCTTGTCAGTTCCCAATAAATATACTTTATGGCCAGAAGTTTGAACTTTTTACGGCCAGTTAAGTAGGTCTTTCATTTACGTTAGTGGGGGATAAATGATTTATACTGACAGGATTAGGGGCTCACTTTATTGTCGGCCTATCGGTTAAAAAACAGAATGGACTGCTTTGTTTCAGGAGTGGCGATTAGATTTTAAGTGTTTGGATTTGGGTCCGTTAATCGGGACTTTCGAGAAACGGGTCCCAATCTCCAGCCTTTCAAAAGTATGTTGGAAAGCTCTTCTCAGAGAATTAGCAGAAGGGAAGCCAAAAAAGTTTTCTACTGGATAGAAGATTCTAGTAAAACTAGTAATAACCAAAGGATACGGAGTGCGGGCGACAACGAAACGCTTTTTCTCCATCGCTGTACTTCGCGTAAGTTTCACATGATAGATAGTCAAAGCCATTCTCGGAGACCCAGGGCCAGATAAAGGGGGCGAGGGAAAGTCTAAACGGGCGGAAAAATATATATGGAACGAAGAAAAGTAAAGAACGGCGAGAAGAGCCCCTGGAGACAATGTCTTACCAGACCAGTTCCAAACGGTCGCCGCCGTTCTGGCTTCTGATTGGTGCCAGAAAACTTGTGTTTTTCTGGCACCAATCAGAAGCCAGAACGTGAACGGCGGCGACCGTTTGGAACTGGTCTGGTAAGACATTGTCCCCAGGGGCTCTTCTCGCCGTTCTTTACTTTTCTTCGCGCCACATTTTTCCGCCCGTTTAGACTTTCCCTCGTCCCCACTATCTGCCCTTGGGTCTCCGAGGATGAGTCAAAACACGCGTGATCAGATTGCGAGCGATAGAGGTTCCAAAAGCTTGTGATTAAATTGCGTTATCTGCATTCCATTCATTATTAGTTGAAGTCCAAATGAATGCTGGCTACATAAATGCGACGCATGCGCAATAACAAACTAGAGACAAGGTTTGCGTTTGTCGCCCGCAATAAAAAATAATGCGTCGCACGCGGGCAAGGTGCTGGCCATACTGTCATACGTGTGTTCCGCTAAAAACCACACGTAAAGTTCTGAATGTAAGGGCATCCCTGAGATCCCGAACAAGAATATACCTTGCGTATCAGGCGCGTTTTTTAGGAAAAAGGGAGAAATCTCGCTCGAAGACGCAGGTGTGCGCGAGTGCATTGGAGAAAGGGCCTTGAGCCTATTTTCGCCTTCTCTCGTTACACTCACTCGCTCTATAAAAACTAACGGCAAATAATCTAGCCAGCACCGCCACAATCATTATAGAGCTCAGTAGCTTTTAGCTTTCAAAATAGTGGTCAGTGTTTTTGTAACAAGGCCGAGCTAAAGTTGAGATCCATCTTAAATGAGATGACTAAAGTGAAGAACTTTGCAAATACCAAAGCGTCAAGATTTGTCAACATGTTTAGCAGCTTACAAAAGCAATGATAATCATGCATTTAAGAAAAAACAGAAACGATTCTTTTTCGTTTATTGTTTACAGTCTTGACAGAAAATTTCCGGTAAAACAGAGACGCCCTCGTTAAAACATCAGTGGTATGAGAAGTCATCAGTGTTAAGGTTAATGGTGAAGTTGACGTAAGCGAACACAGCATAAAAGATTTAGATGTGAGTAATCTTTTTCGTTAAGTTGTCTAAGTTATGCTGCTAATTTAAGTTATATCCTGTATCTGGTTCGCGCTATTTGTTGCATTCTTATAGCAGTCCTATTTATTTTATATTGTTTTGCATAATATTATGGAAAAAAAGCACAATTAGGGGATACAGTCCTTTTGGGTGACTTTATATTTTAACCGACAGCCTCAAGGAAATACTTTCCTTTGTTACCCCTGAGCTCCCTGAGTTTCACTCGTGTGAGTCTTGATCCAAGTACGAATTCGACTTTCACAATCAAACATTGCACATTCTGCTACGCAACACTGCAGTCATTTCCCGCTGACATATTTTGTGGGTGTCCTCTTTAGTTTTGCTGATCACGTTTTAAGTGATTTTACCATAATCATAAAGTATAAAAGTTAGTTCCTTAGCACGATTCTGTTAAACTCTATGAAGAAACTAAACCTGTATAATCGATCAGACGAAACCGGTTGCAGAAATAAAACGAGGTAACGAGGCACTCGCGTTGCATCGTGCTGCTCACGATTGTTCATTGTAAGAATTTTTTAAAATTTTGAAAACCTCAGCGATGTGGGAAGTCACTGCTAATGGTGAAGTTGACGTAGACGACCAGAGCAAAGAAGATTTAGATGTAAGCAATCTTTTTAGTATAGTTAATGCTTTTTATTTTATTTTGCGTTCTTTATTTTGTTTATGTGTTAGTTGCTGATTTCCCATCTCCTGTTTGACTTTTTACCGGAAAATGTCACTTCATTTGCGGCGCACGGAGGGAATTGCACAAATATTAAATATGCGTTGTTGACCAAACGTCAGATGGCTGGATGTTGGCCAAGAATTTTGTGTTTTGATTAACCAAGACGAAGTTGTGGTCATTAAATACGCAGAAAACCTCGGCCAATATACAGCATCTTGTCCGAACAAGCGTTATCGAAAAAGGAATTATTATATGGCCAAAAAAGTAACTTTCTCTTGCGGGGCCAACGCGGGAAATCCCCAGCGGGCAACACGGGCCCATCTTATCCACTCGGGTAGCCAATCAGAACGCAGGATTCGCTTTATTTTCCCGCTCACAGACTCAACCACACAATAGTAGGTGCCGTGACTACATGATTTAAGCGAAGGCCTGCCCGAGATTACTTTCTGTGGTACTGTTTTTATTTGTATGTACGTAAAGAACTTTAATGAGCAAAGTTAAGGTCAGTTGTTTACTTACAAACTGAATAACAAATGATGCTTGACAAATATTTAAACTTGCTCGACGTGCCAATCCGGCACAATTAAAAAATATGATCAGAACAACAAGCAAATCACAAAATCAGTCAATGTTTACAAGGGAAATGTCGAGTATTTTCTCTTCCCCTACTCCAAATTCACTTATCATTTAAATAAGTGAAATGATATTGTGTTGTCGTTAACCCTGTATCCTTTATTGGCCTTTTTCACTGTTCAAAGTTTGCTCAATGAATCCATCAACAAACGGTCAACAATAGCTCTAATTCACCAGGAGTAAAATTGAGACAAATATTTGGATTCTGAATTTGAAAAGCAAGCAGACAATAGTATTTCCCCTCTATGGGCTATTCCTGGCGTGCTAATGTGCGGGTCGTTATGAATAATAAAGACTTTTTTTGACGTAGAATCATCACTCTTCTTGTTCGAAGCAATGTTTTCATATTCAAAATAATATAATCAGTATAATGGCTGCCCTCTGGAAAATTCAAAGCGATAACAGACGATTTTCTCGTAACCTTGGAAATAATTACTGTCCGGTCCCTGATTTGTGCTATAGTGGAGGCTAAATAAAACAACAATTTTACTAGCGCAACCTCAAAGTGTTTCTTCTCTTATTGCTGACTCGACCCTTTTTTTGTAAATGAAAAGACAAAACATAAGAATTTTCTTTAATTAATTCAAGGGAACGAATACCTTTCTACTGGAAAACAAACGCACTATACTATAAATTTGGAATTGAACATTAAAAATTCCTTTTGTTTATTATTTTGTAATGTTACCACATATCGTATGGCATATCTACCGATATGTAAATATTTCAGACAGTGGTTTACATTCAAATTTTAGAGCCTTCGTCATTTTATTCGCTCCAATCTTGGTTTTCCGATAGAGTAGTTAGTTAGTTCGTCCGTTCGTTCTTGTACTCAAAGTTATTGGCCATTAAATATATGTCCAGCAAGATTCCCGCTGCTCCACAAATGACGATTTAAAGGTAACACATCGCCAAAGTGCAGGTTGTTCATCTACCGTTGCTGCTCGAATTGAAATTTGTAAATGTTGGTTTTTAAGGAGAGGGGAAAAACCAGAGTACCCGGAGAAAAACCTCTCGGAGCAAAGGAGAGAGCCAACAACAAAACTCAACCCACATATGGCACTGACACCGGGATTGAAGCCCAGGCCATATTGGTGGGAAGCGACTGCTCTCTTCACTGCGCCACCATAGCTCCGAGCCTTACATACCATCAGGGGCACCCAACGACGGTTTCCTCCTACATACATTGAAAACACTTTTTAGCCTATCCAGAGTACTTTCAGATCTCTAGAAATGCGTTCTAAGCGGGGCTATAAAATTTGTATCTGCTCGGCCTAGGGGAACTTGAATCGTTTCGAAATTTCAAGGGTTTGAGTATTATTTTCCGGAAAATCTTAGATGCAATTTGACGTATTACGAAAGTGAGACATTTTCTAATTCCTCTCTCCATCACATTTTTGAATCCGAAAATTTTAGTTTTCCTTTTTCCTACGAAAAATAGCTTAACTTGGGAAGTGAAATGTGAAAATTAAACGTTAGAAAATCGTAGGGGATTTATAAGATAAGTTTCGAAAATTGTGCATGAAATTGAAGGGTCATTTAGATATTTTTAGCCGTCCTCAAGAACTAGAAAATTGTAGGCAATATTTGCTTCTCCGAACAGATACTTTACAGAGAACAGTCGTTGGGTACCCCTGATACCATGCTATTTTTTTGTTCTAAGCGCTCTTTCCTCCCTCTTCCTTCCTCAAAGAAAGAATCATGCGGCAATGTTGATGACGCAATGACCCTATTCAATTTCTTGACCTGGTAGGGGTTGGTCACTCTCAGTGACCAATCATGAGCAGTCAAAAACAAGCTTTCCACTTGTAGCAATCACGTGACTTTTTTAATGGAGGTGGAACAATCATCTGAGGTTCTAAGACAGGAAACTAAGTAGAGCTTCAAAGACATGCAGGCCTAATTTATAATGAAGTTAACTAAAATTTTCATTAAACACAGTTAACAACAAGGAGCGCGGGCGTGGTTAGCGGTCAGTCGTTTGGCTCAAGCGCAGTCAGTCTTGCTTACGTTACCTCTATGTGTTCAGCACAGCGTTTTCCTGGCGGCCAATCTCTTCGTTTAGCCTTCTTTTAGTTGTTTTTAAAAGCTTTTCACCTCTTGAAAACGGTTCAGGTCTTTTAGTCAACCCTAAAACCGTGACATCTAGACATTGTTAGATTAACAATTTCATTCATCAACCATATATTGTCTCCATCGCCCGCCAACAATATTAAGCTCACTGATTATCACTTACGATATTTTGAGGTCTTATTTTTCTGCCTGTAGATCTTACCAGTAATGGAGTGGGAACATCATTTTCAAACATTTTTTGAGCCATTTCGGATAAAAACCGTTGAGAAAATCAAGCGCACAACCAGAGCTCAAAGAATTCAACGACTTCAAGAAGCGAACTACAATCCATTCTTGTTGAACTCGGAAGATATAACCATAGACTTGCTAACGGATTCGGGAACTGGTGCGATGAGTTCTGACCAATGGGCTGTCATGATGAAAGGCGATGAATCGTACGCTGGTTCTCCCAGCTACCGGAAGTTTGAGCAAGTTGTCAAAGACATTTGTGGCTTCCGGCACGTGATTCCTACGCACCAAGGCCGGGCTGCTGAGCGCATTTTGTTTCAGTGCAGTATTGGGAAAGGTGATGTGGTGCCCAGCAACGCGCATTTTGACACCACACAAGCTAATGTTCTAAAACATGGAGGCAAGCCTGTGAATCTTCCAATTCCAGAGGCAATGGAACAAAACAAGAAGGCTCTTTTTAAGGGGAACATCGACCTTAGCAAACTGAAAGAGTTATTGTCAGAGGAACAGAAAGGTAGGGTCTCTATGGTGATGATCACTGTAACTAACAACGCCGTTGGTGGAGAACCAGTCAGTATGGAAAATATCAAACTGGTTTCCAAGCTCTGTCAACAACATGGAGTCCCATTGTTCCTGGACGCGTGCCGTTTCGCGGAGAACGCGTGGTTTATTAAAGCACGCGAGGAGGGCTACGCGCATCGAACGCCCCTGCAAATTGCGCGCGAGATGTTCTCGTACGCTGACGGCTGTACCATGTCTGCGAAAAAAGACGGTCTCGTAAATATCGGTGGATTCCTTGCAATGAACAACGAAGAACTCGCGGATAAGTGCCGCAGGGAACTTGTCATATCCGAGGGGTTTCTAACCTATGGAGGACTCGCCGGAAGAGACCTTGAGGCCATGGCTGTTGGATTTCGCGAGGTGCTTAACGAGGACTATCTCAGATACCAAGTGGGTTTTGTCAAATTGCTGGCAGATATGTTGAAAGATCGCAACATCCCCGTGTTGACTCCCCCTGGGGGACATGCAGTTTACATCGATGCTGCCGCAATGTTATCTCACATCCCTAAAGAACAGTTTCCTGCTTGGGCCTTGGGATGTGCGCTTTATGTGGAAGGTATGATATTATCTATACACTAAAAGGACGAAGGATAGTTCGTCTAGACGCATAATGCGTCTTGTGCCCGACTTTATACTCGTGACGTATAACAAGACAAACTACAAATGTTTGCCCAAGTTCGCTCAGACGGATAATGGGGCTTTAGTATAAAAACGGCCATTTGGTGGGTCGGTGGGTCCAAGAAAAGAAAAAATAACGGTCATCATGGGAAGGCTATCTGTGCGTCCGTGGGCGCATGCGTATAAAAAACTACGAAAAAATGTCGATGGTTAGTAAAAACAGAAACAAAACTGAAGATCAAAGCAACATCCATACGCCAGATAAGCAATTTTAAAAAGGGAGCCATCGACTGTGTAGAAATAATTGTTCAAAACAAAATTCAGCGTATTTTCTCGTTTTTGCAACATGCGAAGGCTTTATAATAATTAACTGCTGCTTTCAGACCACGATCCTACCCCTTAACGGAAGTTTATTACCTCACCATGAATGGCAATGTAAATCAAGTCACCTGCGTCAAGACGATTTGAGAGAAAGGGTGCAGAGGATTCAGAAAAGTGTGCGCACCTCTTGAAAACTCCTAGTTACACTCTGGTTAAAAAGGATTGCGGGAAAATCCCGCTTAAAAAAGGGAATATTATTTTTTTGGGAAAGAAAATTAACATACTAAGCTATGTTTGTTTTCAAACGAGCCCTATGATCCTAAGATATTATTTGAAATGTAAACTAATAGATTGGTTAAGAAGCCTTTTAAATTCCATGTATATTTATAAGAAGGTCTTTTCGTCATAGGCGGAATTCGTTGTGGTGAGTTAGGTGGGGTGATGCATGGGAAAGATCCTGAATTACCAGAGGATGGCAACGAATTTGAAGCAGACAGGGCGGAACTTCTCCGTCTTGCTATTCCACGCCGGACATATACAGAATCACACATGAAGTAAGTATCAGATTTAATCGTTTTAATTCGAGAATTCGAGAAGATTTTAAAAGATTTCATCTATTTTCGTTATCTACGAGTTTGAAACCTACAAATGGGTGAAAAAGGGCTGTTTATGACAAAATCAACGCCATATTTCAAGTCGTACCTTCTTTCTCTTGTTTCCCAGTAATACTTTTATGACTATTTTCATAACTGTTTATTTAATCCGTAATCGTCCATCCATGCGTTACTCATCAAAACCCCTACCAATGCTCGCCTTTAACCTCCTTGGAACTTTGGACAAAGAAGCTTTAGGGGTTTTATGTTTTCATGGACACGTGTCAAGGCGTTTTCACTGCACAGTTTATTTTCAGAACAATTTTGGTGTGAATTAAGAAAATAGTCTCACAGACCAGTCTGCAAAACGTACAGACCTGAAAATAGTACATAGCATTGGCGCTGCGAGCTATGGGCTCTAGGGATAACTCGATTGATATCTAAACGGTTGATCACTTTATAGATATGTCGCTGAAGTCTTGGAGTATGTTAATACTAAGAAGAAGATGGTCAGCGGATATAAGATCACGTGGGCGCCTGCTGTATTACGTCACTTCAGTGCTCATCTAGAGCCCCTTCCCATTCCCGTTCAGGAGGAAAAGGATGACGAAATTGACGAAATCGAGGACTTTGCACCACGCATGCGTGGTATGTCCTTCCGTCGACCATCATATCAGTTCGTATAGCACCTAGATTAAAGCAGAAAGGAGAAAAATATGCAAATTTTCTGAAAAAGTTTCACCAAGAACGATAAAAGCTGCTTGAATTTTTTTTGCTTGTAAAAGGTTTCCCAAAGTTCCTCTAATTATCGTAGTTTGCAGAATGTTTGTAAAACTTAACAATTTGTACTGAGCCCCTTTTTCCTATCTGGCCTGGTTAAGACTGCTTTGTGTCTCACTGTCGACGCCACCTCTTGTTACACCTTGTTTGCACGCGAAATGACGTCTGTGAAACGAGCGCAGATATTCCACCATTCCATTCTGATGGCCCGGGGAGTACTCCGGATTTCAAATAACAGGGATGATCGAATGGGGGCCTAGGGCTTGAAACAAAACCCCCAAAAATCCCTGGACCAAACTTTAACCCCCAAAAAATCGCATGCCGAATTTCCCAGCCATAAAAATTTCCAGGGGAACTACGCAGCCCGGATACGAGGGAACCATCACGAATCTTCAGATTGTTTTGAATACCAAAAAACTCCCTACTTAAATCAAGCTACTCCAAAAATACTTGCCAAAATTTTCCTGGGCAAAAAATCCCGAAATCGAAAATTTCAAACCCCCCAAAAATCCTGCGATCTTCCCTGTCACTTGAAATCCGGAGTACCCCCCTCCCCTCTCCCCCTGGGACTGATGGCGCGACATTAACCAGTTCTGGGTAGTGCTTCTGAGTGGTCGTACTGCATGGGAAATTTGCTTCAACCAATCAGAAGCTCTACTTAGATCTGGGTAGTTACACGTAATCAGTATGGAACTTCTGCGCTCGTTTTGTCAGACGTCACTAATAGAGAAACCAGTGTTGACGTCGCAAAATGTCTGCTGTTTTCTCTGGTAAAAAAGCAACAACAGAAATCAGTGATTTTGTTTTCAACTTCTCAAAAAAAGACTTCAAACTCAATCTACTGTCTGATTAACATTGTTAAAAGTTCTACTATTTCCTCAGATAACTCTACGACTTAAACTTGTAATTCGGAACTTTAATTGATATTTACAGAAACACTTCCCTCTCCGTTTCTGATCTCTTTACTTTTCTTTAAAAAAATCCTGAGACTGAATTGAAAGCTAAATAGTTACTTCAGTTTTGGGGCTCAATGTAATTTGGGACCATTTATTTATTTATTTATTTATTTATTTATGATGATAAATGTAACTGCCAAAAGCAAATAAAGTTTATCTGAAATCTGCTATTTTAGATTCAAGATAGCTTTTTATACAAAATCTGGTGTTTCGGAAGTGCAGAGGGCTCAAAATCGGCTATTTTAGATGGGAAACAGCTGTTTCCAGTCTATATACACAGACTTAAGTGCTATCCGATCGCCACCATGCATCGTCTTCTCCTCTCCATCCAGCATTGCATGGTTGGTCTCTCCACATATGATGGCGTATCCGCCCCTTGCATTTATTTTCAGACTACCCGAAGGATCAACGCCGTTCCGACGATTTCATGGAAACCAGGGTTAATATCAGTATTGACAGAATAACTTATTGGCAATTGAGGCCTTCTTTATATAATTGCGAATTCGAAAAACGCGGAATACGATGATGGCTTTTTACTACTAAGGGCCTGTTTACATGGAGGTGGGGGACCCTTGGTAGCTGAGGTAACCTGCTTAGGTGGGGTAAAAAAATAACCCTCCTTTACATACATCTTTCAACCCCACCATCTCGGGGTGCACTTTCTCAAGATTATTGAATGGTACGTCGCTAAGAAGGTAAACAAGAAAAATGCTGGCAAACCACGTGTTTTGTCGATTAATGCACTTCTGCACTCACTTGTTGCTCTTGCTGCAACCTTCAGTGCAATGGCTTTCTATTGTTAACTTTAATAATGATGCAAAGCCACCGCCAAAGTGAATTTTGCGCGAATTTGATGTACCACGAATCCGACCCCGGCCAGGTGGGTTACCCCACCTCGAAACGTTTACATGGCAAAATTTGACCCCGGCTGAGAGGGTTACCCGGTCAGGCAGACCGGGCTACCCGCCTTGGCGAGTTACCCTACCTATCATGTAAACGTGATCAAATTAAAATGAGAGATTATTTGGACAGGCGCGTTACCCCACCTAAGCGAGTTACCTCACCTACCTGGGGTCCCCCACCACCATGTAAACAGGCTCTAAGGCGAGAATTCATTTTGTTTTTTTCTTTCATATTTAAATTTGGTAATACTAGTGAGGTTTAAATAACAAAAGCCTTTATTTGCACAAGAAAGCAAAACCCTGAAGGATTCTTGTGGCATACGTAGTACTGACGCCATCATCCAAATCGGCCTATTAAGTACTCGTAAGTTAATTTGCTGCTTGGCTGGGAGGGAAGAAAAGTGCGTAATGATGATCATGATGATGATGATGATAGCGTTTATCAAAATATTAAGATCAAAGAGCTTTAGAACAAGCCAAATAATATCTAGGTATAAATACACTAGTGAATTCCAATTAAAAAGATAAAGATGATTCACACGTTATGATAAGCAGTCCTACATAGATGTGACTTGAGCTTTGTTTTAAATTCTGCTAATACACTGTTCCATAATCTAGGAGCGGCAGCAGAAAACAGTCCTTGCAACCATACGTCTTGAGTTTATATTCCAATACAAAAGGAAGGTTATCACCGCTTGATCTAAGATTCTTTAGAGGAATATTATTGTGTAAATGTTTCTCGAGGTACCTAGGCCCTAATCAATTTAAACTCCATAACTTTATAGCCTTACTGATCTCTGTGTCATGAATTAGGGAACTTCAGCAGAGGCGTTTTTAAGCTATGCACGTGAACCAGAATTGAGACTTTTCCGTTTTCCCGCTTTTTGCTATTCACAGATATAACGGGTGTAACAAAATGAGTCTTTTGTTACAAGAACCAATGCGCTTCTGGTTGGCATATTTATAGAAAGAGGTGACGTCAGCGTGAGTGACGCTATCAGATTTATCTTAAGTCTTGCAGAGACGATTTCGTCGAAATCTAATGCAAACAGTCCACTCCAAGCTGAAGCCTAAGAACGATGCTTAAAAACACCTTTGCTTGACCCTATGAAAAGCTGTGGAATACTTCACTTCTCCGTTTTCCTTTTAGCGTTCTCTTTCTCCGTACCTTTTAAACGCCTGCAGGCTAGTCTTGGTCAACACTAAATAGGCTACTAAATTAGGCCAACAACTTCTTTTAAAATCTTTAATAAAAATTACAGTGTAGAATAACCAAGAAAAACTCGAAACAATACGGATAGATATAACAATGCTAGGATATATGGACAAAAAAAAGAGAATGGGGAAAATGCAATAAACGGGACTAAAGTGTTACAAAATTATAACTGTTAGACTTCCCTATTTTGCTGAACGTACTATAAAACTCGCTGGGCTAATTCCCACCAGAAAAGATGAAACGGTGAATGTTAGACATTAGTTGCTACATCTAACTGCGTCAGCAGAATCGGTATGAGCTTTCGCAGGCTAAAAGATTTCTGGGATCAACGTCACCAAATGGGTGGACAACATAACAATGACTGGGTAAAGACCAATTTCGATATATTACTTGGTTCCAAGGCTTGGGGGAAAAAAGAAAAGAAATATGTTATTCAATCCCTGAGCCTCAAGACGATTTCTTTTGTTTTATTCCTCGAAGCCTTGCAGCAAAGTATGAATTAGCCTGTTCCAGACATTCAGATAGTAGAGTGTGAAGCAAAGGTAAGAGATCGAGAAAAAAGAAATAAGGGAGAGAGAGGTGGGGGAAGAGGGAGAGGGGAGGGAACTTCCTTTGCTCTTACCCCCTACCCCACCCCCTTGCTGTTTTTTTTTTTTCGCTGACATCTCTTTGCACAGTCCTCACGATCTAAACGCCTGGAACAGGCTAAGTATGAATTTTAATATATCGAAATTGGTCCATCGAAAAAATAGCGAATTAAAATCGTTTGTGAAAGCGCTCATTCTCTTTGTAAGTTCTTTATGCATGTTATTATACACGTTGTAAAAGAATATCAATACTGTTATGTTACTACTCACACACAAAAATATTGGTAATAGAGAATGAAAAAATCTTTCAAGGCTCGGTTGATTCGGCTTCGTTTTGACCTCAACTAAATTGCATCAAGGAATTCTTTCTTCGCCTTAATCCCTGACCCGTGGACACTTTTCTGGTTGGTCGATTGCTAACTTGAGTGGATTCTTCGGGTGCTTTAAATGGGAGAGGAAGAGGCTCCAGGTGGGCAGTGAAATGACGTAACATTGGTGGCTCCCACGTGATTTGGTAACCACAAACCTTTGCGCGGTTCTTGTACAGATGCGCACAGACTTCAGCGACATACCTGTCGGAAAGATGTACGCGGAATGTAGTTAACACTCTATCAACATCTAGAAAATGTTAAATGTTAATAGGGCAATTAAAAAAGAAACTAGCACAAGCACAACAGCAGTAGCAGTAAATGTCAAGAAATTATAGGTCTAGTCAGCACAAAAAATGCCCCTTAATGCGCGTTTTAGGTTTTGGTACAGCTATCATTCGTTCTATCCTCAAAACCTTGTTCCCGACAAAGGGGAAAAGCCCTGGGGACGATTTTACCTCGTTCCCAGGGAGACCCTGGGAACGAAACTTTTACTTCGGAACAAGACATCGAGGGTCAATTATCAGCATTTCAGTTGGAATAAGGTGTATAAGCTTTAATCTTTGATTTTCCTTTTTTGTGTTTTTCACCTTAAAGAGTAACTCCTTATTTTAATGAATTGTTGTATTAGTCAATTAAGTACGTCAGTAAGTACTGATCGAGTTTATGATTAGACCACCAAACGTTTTTAAATCATTACTGTATAAGCCTGCGAGTAAGCTCTCCATTTGGAAGAGTGGCCAGAAGTTACTCGAGAGGCGCATGCGCAAGGAAAGCCATTGCGAGGGGCGGTTAAAGAGGGGCGGGAAAGAGAAGTCACACCACGCATCATTTTCCTCCGCACCTAGCGGCGTCGCCGCTCGTTCGCGCGTTCGCTCTTGGCTCGCTTTTCGCGGTTATTAGAGACCTTGCTCGCAGGCTATAAAAGTAGAAGCCTTTACCTTAAATGAGACTCAGTGTATGTACGGCGGGGAATAGCCAGGCGAAACAATTCTTCGTGTTCATAATCGTCTCCGAAGGCGCCTTCATCAACCCCATTTCCATTTTCCGAATTTTCCGTTTCCTGCTTCTCCTGACTTCCTAACATGACCGCACCAACTTCCGCCCCGCGGATCCCTCCCTCCACGTAAAGTGCGCAGCCAAGAGCCCACGCTGGGAACTGTTCGCGAGAAATGTGCGGAAGCATTGCGCCTGCGTCGATATACACCGCGTGACCACCGGGTGGGGTCACAATGGGCACGTGGTTCTGGACGAGTAAATCCGCCAGGAACTTAACATATCCGATTTGATAGCGCAGGTAATCTTCTTCAACCACTTCATTCAAACCAACTGCAATCGCTTCCAAGTCGCGCCCTGCTAAGCCGCCATAAGTGGTGAAACCTTCGGTTATCAGCAGCTCCTTGCGGCATTTTGCAGCAAGCTCTTCGTCGTTGACTGCCAAAAACCCGCCGATATTTGCCAGGCCATCCTTCTTCGCCGACATGGTGCAGCCATCGCCGTAAGAGAAAATCTCTCGCGCGATTTCTTTCGGTGTGCGGTTCGCATAACCTTCTTCTTTGATCTTTATGAACCAAGCATTTTCAGCGAAGCGGCAGGCATCAAAAAACAACGGAATACCGTGTGCGCGACAAATTTTAGACACCGCCTTTATATTCTCCATGCTGACTGGCTCACCTCCCACCATATTATTTGTAATGGTTATCATAACAAGTGGAATTTTATCTCGACACTTTGTGATTGTCTGTTTCAGCTTTTCGATGTTCATATTTCCTTTAAATGGCACATCTTTACTGGGCTCCATAGCCTCAGGAGTCAAAAAATTAATCGCCTTTGCACCTTGGGCTTCGATGTTTGCCATTGTTGTCGCAAAATGTGCGTTGTTTGGAACGACATTGTCTTCTTTCACAGCGCACCTGAAAAGAATACGCTCTGCCGCGCGCCCTTGGTGCGTAGGGATCACGTGACGGTATCCAAAGATCTCCTCGACCACAGCTTCAAACTTCCGGTAACTCGGAGAGCCGGCATACGACTCATCTCCAATCATAACCGCAGCCCACTGTTCAGAACTCATCGCTCCAGTCCCTGAGTCTGTTAGCAGGTCAATCAAGATGTTGTCCGAGTCCAAGAGATACAAGTTGTAATTAGCTTGTTTTAGATACTTCATTCGTTCGTCTCGTGTTGTTGTCTTAAGTTTCTCTATGGATTTGATCCTGAAAGGCTCGAAAAACGTTGTGAATTTGTGTTCTTCCATGATGCTATAATGTGAAAAGAAAAATGCCTTAGTACCCGCTAGAGCATCGTTAATATGCTGATTAAACGTTTTCGATTCTGAGCATTTAGAGCTTTTATGACAGCTGCACCTATGAACACGATAGCTATTAAATATAAAGAGTTGATTAACCTTTGATTCAATTATTCGGATGACCTTAATGTCTAATTAGGGACTGTGCAATAATTGTCAGGAGGAGGTAAGGAGGGCTGAAAAATGATTAAATCGTACAAACTTTGTATTAAGCTTGAAACCACCACCTGATCAGTCTCTCCATCCACTTCTGAATCATCTCATTGTGAATCGGATTCAATATAACAGACAATAATTATATCATAACCGTGGACATTAAAACCTCTTTCAACTAAAACAATACGGCAAGGGCTAATTTTTTGGAGGCCAATATTTCTGCTAACAAAATTAGCCTTCCTCAGGGCTAGAGCTAAACTGAAAGAGAATACTATAACGGCTCCTAAGATTTGAACTTAAATTTATATGAGAGGTTAATGATAAACTAAAAAGGAAAACAATAGATAACGTAATGATAGCTATGTAAATAATTATACAAATTTTAGGAGCCGTTATATAGTGTTCCCGTTCAGTGTAGCTCTGGCCCCGAGGAAGGCTAATTTTGTTAGCCGTAATATTGGACTCAAATACATCAGCTCAGTTTGCCTTATTGCCAGCCTTGCATACAGTTTTTTTCAATTCCCTCTTCAAGTGACGTCTGGCATTATATTAGCATCCCTACATTAGAGATCTGGCAAGAAAGAACCAATCGGTTTTATTTACGCGTTGAGTGGACCTCTGCATTCAAAGGTTTTTAGTCTTTCACTTGTCCCAGATCCCCTCTATTCTTTACATTTCTCTCTGATAGCCCAGAGCCAAAACAGCGTGACGATAGTAACAACAATAAATGCAAATAAAAAGCGAGACGGATGAAATCAAGATGAAGCTTCGAGAAATAACCATAGTTGTGTATTTTCAAATCTGCCGTTGAGTGAAAGCGAGGCTGGAGTTGACTTTTTGACATTTACCAACCTTAATGCTTTTCAAATCTAGATTTAGCAACCTAGAATGATCGCGAACAAGACTATTCGTTATATGATATCTGTTACATTTTCATTTCATTGTTATTAACTGTTTCTTTTCTTTTCTATTATTAAGCTCTTATTTATTTATTTAATTTTGCTCTTTCTGGTTCATTGCCTTATTTGCTTTCAACATAATTGGTATTATGGTGGCCAACTAGAAAACCTAATGGTTCACTTAGCCATCATACTCAAACTTTCATATCAGTTCTATAGCAACATTTTCCAGTAACCTGTCAAGTCCGTAACCTAGCATAAGGTAGTCAAAATATGGAGGGAAATAAACTGATTTGAAAAGCAGGATGGTTTGTATCAAAACAAAGTCAGCATCCACCTCTCTTCCACTCATCAAGTACACAACTCAGCTGACAACTGTAAAATAGGCTGTTAAAGATAATTACAATCAAACCCCGCTCAATACAGACATCTCATTATTACGGACAGTTTGCTTTGTCCTTGGAGAAAGAAAGCCTTTACATTTTCAAAGTCAACCCGCTTAATACAGACTATGGTCCCCTTACTACCAGTATTAACGGCGTTTGACTGTACAGTGAAACACACTGCACATGCTGCAGAAAGACCAGTAACAAAAAAATCGTCCCTTGAAAATTTTCGGTCCTTAAATCTCAGTTTAATATTGATGGTAATGATTTTCAAGTAGGAATGGGAAAGGTCTCCCCAGTCATCAGTCGAAATGGCGTATGTGGGCGGCGCACGAGAAACCGAGTAAATCGCGTCGGCATATTTCTAATTTAATTGATTTTAATTTATTCCATTTTCACTGCAAAAAAGAAAACTTAGCTAAATTACATAAGAGAACAATTAACTACATACTAGAAAAAAAAATTATTGCAGTGGGGAAGGACTAGAAGGGAAGATACGAACCATTCGAGCCAGTCCACCCAAAAACTACAACAGACACTTAAAAAAAGAAAAAGAAAAAAAGAAAACATTAAAATTATATCTTAAATGTAAAAACTATAATTGCTAATATATCATATCCTAGATTAATCTAATCAGAAATAATTGTTACATCGATCACTACATCCAAGTGACATGCGGGTAGTCAGGGTCGAAGCTCTTCTTTGTTTTTTAAATAATGATAGGCTTAAATTAGAGGTCCTGAGTTTATCAGGCAGGTTGTTCCATAAATATAGTAATCTATTGAAAAAAGTGCCTTTGAATAATTCGGTTCTGACTTTGTTAATCTTTAACTTATTACTAGAATATGACCTTAATCTTTTGTCTGAGCAAAAGTCAAAATATCTTTCAACTGAATAGTTATAGTAACCACACTTCAGTTTATAAAATGTTGTTATGTCTTTAACTTCTTATTGGTACACCAATGGGAGAAGATTGAGCTGCTGAAGGCGTTCATTGTAAGTTAAATTAGGTAGGAGAAGCCGCGTAGCACGTCGTTGGACACCCTCAATAAGCTTTATCAAGGTGACAGACTTTCAGAGGCATACTCCAAATGCGAACGCTTAAGGGCCACGTAGAGAGATCTAAATGTTGGCAGAAACTGATCGCTCCATTTCTCGTGCGCCCAACCAGGCACCCACGCGGCATGCCTGATCCAAAAGTCCAAAAATTAAATGCTGTACTGAAGAAAGGTTTTGCTGACAATTTAGCGAAATTTGACTCAATATCAGTGCGGGGAGTCCATTGTCCCCCTTTAAATCCGCCCGTGAGTACAATCGTAAAAAAATACGCATTTGCGCTCCCCAGTGACAAAAATGTTGCAAAAGATCCCTGAGGATGTAGGTTGATTCGTAATCCCTTACGTAATCACGGATAAGGACGATAAACCGTAGGTCCTGTCTGTGTTCGGGAACGTGTACATTATTTAGACACCCTGCAATTTCTTGGGTGTGTGAGAAGCATTTCTCATCCCGTGCATCACGGGCCACATCACCAGATAGAGTGAAAGTGTGAGTACATACCCCCGTTCATTAGTCATTCCTGCATTACTTGTAAACTGCACCTTAAGCAGTCTGGCAAAGCCCCCCAACCAGTATTGTAAATTATCCCTGAAAAGCCTTGAGGGGAGTGGATAATAAGATATTTACAATTTACAATCAAATAAGTAAGTCTTTGCAAGATTACTTAGTTGATGGAAAAGCTACTCTAGTAGATTCACAGGTCCGATTCACACATGGCTCCAAAGCCTGGAAGACGACTAGTGAATATCAAAACATCATCTTGTAAACAATTTTAAAAAAAATTGTTTCTCGGATTATTTTGTATTAATAAATTTCAAAGTGACTGCCAGAGGTAGTTTTCGAGTTTTTATATCCCAGAATACTGAAGGCCCTAAGTTTCTGTTCATAAAAGTGATACCCATCAGTGCGGGGGCAGAGCTCGACAATGACAGCAATACTTGATCATTTTTTGGATTGCTCAATTTGAAGGGTCTCTGCGTTTTTCGAACTTCAGGCTGATTTAAGGGGAAGTTTCAGATTGTTATAAGAAGTTAAGAATGTGTATTATGTACAGTCATACAAGCTAAATGCAGATGCATTTTCATGTCTAATATAGATCTACAAAAAATTCTGATACCCAAGAAGATCCTCCCAGTGCACGGCCCTAATTAAGTTCTAAGGTCAAATCTTTTGAATGTCATTATATAAAGACGATTGTCTTACCAAAGTCACGTTGCGATGGGAAGGTGTCGAAGCCAATATTTGCAAAAGGAATAGTAACGGCGTCGAACGCTTGCAAGGTTTGGTAGGCTTTCAAAACACTGAGACTGTAATGAACGTGAGTGACCAAACTCGTCGCTATTGTTGAAGTGCAGTTGGTTGTTATGAGATTAGATATAAGGCGTTATGAAAAGTTTCCTGTCTAATCTTAGATTTCTACTTCATGCGGAAATAGCAGGCGAGATCTACTAATCTGAGAAGAAAACCAGAGAAAACTATTGGATCGGCGACCCTACGTATCCATTTAATCTTAGGTGTCGCCTTTTAAGCCACACCTAAAAATACTGAAAAACAAATAGAATAAAGTGAAAGCTCTGCCAAAGAGATTTAAACTCATCGTTTACGTCACTGGATTTCATCCACAGACTGAAAATATTATGACTTTAACCAGAAACGAATAAGGCAAACAGAGGTACAGGCCTTTCGTAAAAATTATCAAAAAAAAGGTTTGGTTAAGCAACTCATCATTATATAATGCGACCGCAACTTCTAGCCAATATTTTTTAGCCGCTTAAGGCTTAAGGCTGTGTTTGAAGAAATCAAGAGAGCAGAAGACAAAAAGAAAAAGAAGAAAGCGATCAATAACAACGTCTTCATCGCATACAGTGCTAATTTGGTTGTCTAGGGTCAAACACTGAACCTGAACTACGCCCAGTATTAGACTCCTTTGGCGCTTTATTTCGGCTCCCTTAGCTTCATATGGAAGTTTCCCCACTCCCCTTCAGTGATGTCTCTATAATCTCCATAAAAATCTATGGCGTTTAAAGTCAAATAGAGGAAAATACGTCCTACCGACATTTAACCTGGTACGCGTTGTGAAATCTCTCCTGCTTTTTAACCTATACCTACCATATTTACATTTAGGGAAACATGTTATCATATGTAATGTTTAGAAGGTCTAAGCACATGTAAAGCCTCAAAAAGGCCGCACGGCGAGCATACCGCCTACAAAAGCGACAGTTTAGAAGGATTAAGGGTCTTAAAAATAGCTTTGTAAAACATTTATTTTGTTTATCTTCTGTGACTGCACGTAAGTCAAAATTTTAAAGTAGGAATTGAAAAAATAATTCACCGTTGACAAAGAAACTAGAGCCTCTCGAATTCAAAAACGGTCTCTTTCGTTCAGCTTTAAACTTTGCAAAACCAGTAGTCTACAAAATCTTGCTTAAAGAAAACGCTTTGCGGATGA